GTAATAGTAAGCTGTTGATATTTACGTTATTGTTCGTCCCACAAGTGACACTATTTACGTTCTTGATTGATCTAGTTACTTGGTTGTTATCGCAACTCGCTGTTCTAATACTTATGTTACCAATTCATGCCGAGAATCGGCTTAGGATTGAAACTTCTTTTGGTTTTCTTACAATTGTTGTTGTCCCTTAATTGAGATAATCGAATTTGCAATTGTTTTTGCGGATTTTCTTCCCCCCCCCCTATGCCGGGCAAATAATTTCCATTTTCATATTTCTGTTCCTCACGAAATTTCCGATACAATGACCCGTGTTTCAATCATTTTCTCCATTATAAGGTACTCTTCAGTCATTTCCTCATTTGGCTGGACTATAATGCGAAAAATCGTGATTAAAAAAAATTACAATTTTTTTCTCTTAATGTATTAATAAAAAGAGAATGTTTAACTTTGTAATTTGTAATAGAGTGGAGTTTGCGTTAAAACTGGGTTACACGGAGAAGCTTGTTCAAGCAGCCCTTTTAAAATTAGGCCCGTCACCTGCTCAGAATGAACTTCTGGCCGAATTGATAAAATTGGGTGCCCAGAGGAGCAGTTCTTCTTGCGATAGCAGCCCAACAGATGGACCCACCGATATAGCAGCCGAGTTTCAAAGCGACCTTTCTACTGCTACCGGACAAGTGCTGAGGCCGATTGTTATCGATGGAAGTAACGTTGCAATGAGGTACTGCAGTTTTTATTATTTTTTTTTTGTACATACTAAATGGGGTTTTTTACTATACTTAATTTCTGTGTATTTATCCCTATTTAGTCATGGAAACAAAGAACTATTTTCGTGTCGTGGTATTAAGATCGCGGTAGACTGGTTTAAGGCACGAGGACACAAAGACATAACGGTGTTCGTTCCAAAATGGCGAAAAGAAGCCCCGAGACCCGACAATCCCGTCCGCGACCAGGAGATCCTCGCTGAACTCGAAAAAGAACGTATGCTGGTCTTTACCCCCTCCCGGTTCGTCGGAGGTAAGAGGATGGTGTGTTACGACGATCGATATATTCTCAAACTAGCCGCAGAGGTCGATGGGGTGGTTGTCAGTAACGATAACTACCGCGACTTGTCCCAAGAAAATGCAGAGTTTCGCAAAGTAGTAGAAGAACGCATCCTAATGTATTCTTTTGTTAACGATCGATTCATGCCTCCTGACGACCCCCTTGGACGTTCTGGACCAACACTGGACAATTTCCTTCGTTGCCAACCGAAGAAAAGCGAACCGCCACCGCCGTGTCCCTACGCGAAAAAGTGTACGTACGGTAACAAGTGCAAGTACCATCATCCAGAACGGGGTCCATTACCGCACAAGAGCGTGACGGAGAGACTAAGTGAGCATGCGCAGCGTCATTTGCAAGCTCGTGAAGGGGAGACACGTAAGATTCCTCTCGGTCGCACGCGATCTAACGTGCCTCCCCCCAAAGAAACCACTCAACATGCGGTCGTTTCAAAAAGTCGTAGTGTCGATAATGTGGGTGGTACGTATCCGCCACCTCCGGCTGCTTCCGGGACCGAGAATCTTCATAAGAAACTACAAAGACAATTAACGCTCAATCCAAACTCTGACCCGCGGCTCGTACGAGCTCGTTTCCTCCCTCCACTGCAACACGGTGGTGCTGGTGCGTTACCGCAACAATTACGTCCCTATTTAACCCCCGGACACCCCAATTGGGAATTGCATCAACACGTAACGCGTATTGCCTCCGCACCTGATTCGTACCGCGCTTGGCCCCCCAATTCAGCTACAGCTGCGCATGCGCAACATGCAGCAGCTGCACATATGCAACGTGTGTCTAGCTGTTCAGACCCACAGCTGAACGTGTGGCCCCATCATTGGCCGCATGCTGCAGGTGGAGCAGCTGCGCATCCTAACATACAGGAGGACGTTAGGAGAAAATTACACTATCATCTGAGCGCCATTTTTCCAGAGGAACAAGTATCGCAGGCGATGCAAATGTATCCGGATGAGACGAACCCCCAGAAGATCTGTGCAGCTATTTTGGCTATGTTCCCGTCAAAATAACGAAACGGAGAAAATGGAACAATTAAGAATGAAGCATTTTTATCATGACAATGACTACGAGTACGTGTTGCCTTGAAGATTTGTTTAATTCTGCAGTAAGATGTAGTTTCTTTTTGAAAGAAGAAAGAGAAAAGGAGGCGTAACGAGGTAAGTGCCCAATTGTTAGGTCCAAATGAAATGGAATTACCTTTGGAAGAGTGACAATGTTTAAATGACAAAGTATTTCATTTGTTCTGTCTTTCATATCAACACTTATTTTTTATGAGAAGTATAATTAACAAATCGTTTAAAATGTGGTTCGACTTAAATATTTATAGTCACTTTACTCTTATTTTTTCGACATTTAAAATGCTACCAAGGTTGTGAAAATAACCATATATATTTTTTTAACAAAAACTTTTTCTGAACTTTTAATTTTATTTTTATAAGCTTGAAGACTTGAATATTAAGAATATTTATTAACAGTTTAATGTTAAATTGATTTTTCAATTTTTAAGCGTTCATAAATAAATATGTACCTACATATAAATAAAGACAACATAGTAAAATTTGTGAATTTAGGGAAAAACGGATACTAATTGGAAATTTTGCTATTTAGGTTTACTTTACTGTGTCTGAATGTTTACAGTACGTTAGAATGTAAACTTTTCTTTTAAAAAGTACTAGCACAATTTCAAGTAACTGTAATAGATCGTCTTGGTAATAATTAATTAATTAAATCGATCACTAATCTTCTACATACTTAACTGTTAAGTATTTTTTGAGGATTAGTAAGTGTTATAATAATTATTATTATAGTTATGTCTTACTACGAATCGAATATCATAAAAATGAAAAATAAAAAAGCGAAACGTTCGTTTATATTAACTTCATATTGAAGGCAGTGTGATTCCTAAATGATAAGGATTGGTTTAAAAAAAAAAATGTAATTTTTGCCCTTATGTTGATACTGTGTATCTTTAGTAAAAATTGTTGTAATTTTGTATTTATAGATTTTGCGAATTTTACAAGTTAATGTACGTGAAATTGATGGTTGTTATCCCCTCTACTTTACTTATTTTGTCCACCCTGTGGTACAGTATGCCTCTATTGGCACAAAATTAAAATTGATTGGATAAAAGTAATTCTTTTTCGCCTTATTAAGGTTTTTTTTATATACATATGAGATTGCACATTGCATTTAGAAATAACGTAAATTGTAGAGAATATTTCTATTTTCCCCATTTTACTTTTATTTACAGATTACAAGCATTTACGCAAAACTTGTTTTAAAAATGCTATGTGATGAGTAGTTACAGTTCGATGTTTTAAAAATTTTAATAAAATCGTATTTATTTGTTTTTACTTACTAATAAAAAAATAACTGTAATCTTTTTATTTATTTATTGCCAAGCTTTTTTTATTTTTAAAAAATAATACAGTAAATTTAGAAAAAGTCTTGTATAATTTAATTTATTAAATTTAAAATAAAATGGCGCATTATATTAGATAGTTATAAAGGAATGAACATGTTTCTATCACTTGTCCATTAACCATTAAGAAAACTTGTTATATGTATACATTATCTTTAAAAATAACGATTAATCCCATATTCGTCAACATTGGAAGATGATCGTTTACAGTTAACAAAGTATAAACGGTATAACGTAAATTCTAGGTGCAGACATTGGTTTCTACAAGATAAATTATATCACATTCCAATAGTTTTTCAAATAATCTTAATTACATTTTTAATAAAATTAGTGTTTTGCAAACATCAAATGTTCCAATGTTGCCAAGTTACTGTGATAATCGCTTTTGACCATAGATAAAGTATTTCATATACGTAATGACAGTCATAACCATAGATTGGGTAATAACACAATTAATGGGGCGTCTTCCGAAATATAACCCAACATACTGGCCAGTGCGTTGACGTCAAATTGATACCATATGAAGAATAGTGTTTGTGCTCGTTTACAACAATTTTGCTTCAGTTATTAAAGTTTCTTACTATAAAAAAATCCTCAAAGTCTGATGTACACACGCCTGTTTGATGTTCTACTACGTCACACTTGTCTCACCGGTACAATATGGCGTCGATTCATGAAGTCATCTGCACTGGCTAGTATGCTGGGTTATATTTCGGAACACACCCATGCTCTATGATTGATCTATGGGTGGAATAATTGTTCATTTGAGATATTAATCCCATTGAACTAGACTACAGTTCCCCTTCACTTCAATGATTAATCCATACACAATCTATGAGATACACTATTTCAATGTTTTATCGTTTTATCTATGGTCAATGTTTATGTGTCAAGAAGTAAAAAAATACAAACTATTAATACAAATTTCAGTTGAAGTGTAAAAATATCTTTAATAAATAGGGTACNCTAGTATGTTGGGTTGTATTTCGGAACACACCCATGCTCTATGATTGATCTATAGGTAGAATAATTGTTCAATCTATGAGATACACTATTTCAATGTTTTATCGTTTTATCTATGGTCAATGTTTATGTGTCAAGAAGTAAAAAAATACAAACTATTAATACAAATTTCAGTTGAAGTGTAAAAATATCTTTAATAAATAGGGTACGTATCCATAGGAAGTACATCGTACATAAATATATTTTATTTATATCATTTATCAATATGTATACTCACTGTAGTCTCAATTTTCATCATATTTTTATGAACAAGACAAATTTATAATTAAGTTACAGTTATTAACCATTCCTTAATTTTCATTATTTCATTGTTAGTAGGGTACCGTTAGTAGTTTGGTTATTTCCTTGTTTAATGAACCAATAATGGTGCATTAACCAGCGTTCTAATATGCAATAGTAGTATGTATAAACCATGTGTAAGTGTAGGTGGTGTTGATATAATTATTTAAAATCATCTATTGAATTGTAATAAAAGCTTGTGTGGCTCTCCATTCCAGCTATTGCATTGTCTTCTGTGGAGACTATATTTTTGTACTGTTATATGACATTAAACAATACAACAAATTATTTTACAGGAATGTTACATGAACTGTGAAGTTTATGTTATGAAGCATTGGTTGTAGAAGTTGCCTGTCCATACCACCCTGTGGAGCTGGTAGAACTTGAATGAGTCTTTTTTATTGGAGTGGAAACAATGGGAGTGATATCTGTTATTAATGGAAGGATTCATGATAATGAAGTAAGAATGCTTTAGTGCATCAGGACTTAACAAAACCAGCAGGGTAAGTGATGACACTAATTAAAAATGCAACAGCAATTTAAACAATCATTCTTATGTTNTGGCTCCAAAAAGTGACTGTTTTTATGGTCATAAAGAAAGCGTGAAAGTGCCTTTTTCCATTGGCAACAAAGACAATGTGCTGAAGGAGGGATTTATGACAATGAACTGGTATGTAACAGTAGCAATTAAAATTAGTAAATGAGGTCCCAGAAACTTGATTTCTTAGATATTTGTAACTTGCTTCAATAGACAACTTTTCAGAAATGGAAAAAGCAGAATTATTGTGGAACTGACCTTTCTTTCAATGTTAAAGTTAACTTGTATCTTTACCAGTATATCGCCAGATGAAAATATTACTGATTTACTTTAATTAAAAGTGGTAATTAATTACTTTTTCTTGCCCGTTTCTATAGATTATCCAACGAGGGAGAAGGAATAAGAGTTAATTTTGATGCTACTGGGAGGCTTGGAAGCAGCTGAAACAACAAACTGTGTGCAGTTGTATCCTTCCTAGGTTTGGTATGCTCATCACACTGATAGACTTTAGGACGCTACTTTCTACAATTAATTAAGGTGAGAATACATGACTTCATTAATATTAATTGCTATTTATTAATCTGTTACGGCATTTCTATTAACAATTAGCTATTGTCAACAATATTAATTGAGGTTATTGTGCATCTATATCTCTTGACAGTTTTTATTTTCCATAGAATAAATTAACACGTATCATAGATATATGGAATTTTTTTTAACCTGTTTTCTATTGTCTGCAATATAAACTGACGTCGTGTTATTTGACATATATCTATGTTGTGATCTATGGTTGTGATGTAAAATGGCGTGAAAGTAACTCAGTCATTTTATAATTCAGCTATTTTACTTGCTTTTTGGTGCGTTTTTAGTTGTTTTAAATTGTTTCTTAATTAATAGTGTAATTAATATGGGTTTTTGTCCGTTTCTGCAGGTTGTTCAACAAATGAGAGAGAATTAAACTGCAATTTGGTCATACTGGAACAGTCAATGTCTGCATGGGTGTTGTTTTTCGTGGACTGTATTCTTGATTTGCTGTTTTCGTCTTCGCCTTGCAACATTATTCAGTTCATTTTCAACACATGAGTGAAAGCAACTGGACATTTATTTGAATTTCACTGAAATAAAGAATTTTATGCTACTACAGTATTCCTCCTGGAGTTGGATTGCTTTTCCCACCTGCAAACTTTGGAACATTACAGTTTACAGTTAATTAAGGTGAGGATACTTGATATAATTAATTTTAATTGCTCTTTATTAATCTGTTACCACCGTATCTGTTTCAGATCGACGTTGGAGAAGACAAAGATGACCCCCCAGTTAAAATAGTTCTTTACCTTGCATGCTCTATCTAGTAGAATTTATTAAGTTCATCTTACTCAAATTAATTTTTTATTTTGTAAGTTTTTTCGTAGTTTTGTGTAGTTAATTTGAATTTGTTTTTATTTTGCATGCTTATTTTTGTTCATTTTATTTGAAGTAATTGTTGATTGTAGATGTTTTTATTTTTTCTTTAGTATGTAGTAGTAGTGTTTGTTCATTTTATTTGAAGTAATTCTTGATTGTAGATGTTTTTATTTTTGTATGTAGTAGTAGTAAAACTTAACACGTTTAGTAGTTGTAGTATAGTTTAACCTTGCTTACCTCTTCGCTTAGCTTACTGCATATTCTTACTATAAATTGCTTTGCATTTACCAATATGAAATGAATCGGGTGTTTAGTTAGTATATTTATTATTAATAATATGTGTGCATATAGCCTGTCGAATCACGCAGAGACTTGACTGCGTGACTCATGTACAGATAGCGTAAGCCATCTAGCTAATTATTTGTACATACAGGATCATAAAAGTTACTTTTTGTGTACAATCTTACTTTAATTGATTGGTAATTTGGTAAGGCTACAATGGATGAGGAAAGGTATAAAATAAAACTGAAAAAAATCACGCATCCTTAAAAATTAAGGATTTTGCTTTTTATCTAATTTTTAATCGGATATTCAAGTTACAGCGCGAAAAAATGCACAATTTAATAAATAACTAATAAATTTTGAGACGAGTCTGTAAAATTTGACTGAATTATTATAAAACCTTCGCTCAGTCTTACAATTTGCTGAATATGAAAAATGAAATCGAAATTTGGAAATAGTTGGGGGAAGAGAAGCGAAATGTAAGTGAGCTTTCTGTTGTCAATGTGTTAAAGAGTTGTTAAAAATTTTGATCGCTCTACCACAGCATAAAGATATTCTACCTCATCTTTCTTTAATAGTTAGGGTTGTTCAGATGTATATACTAGCTTTGAATTTGAATTTTTTGAAAATATTCTAGGGATTTACTTTCAAAATTTCTTAATGTAAATAAATAAATGTAAAATAAAGAACCCCTGTGCAAAATGTTACGTTCACCATCAGTGAGAAAATCAACTAAACGATTAAAGTTGAAAAGATATCTATTTTAAAAAAATTTTTTTGAATTGATGTTTACGATTAGTTTTACATTTTTATTTTCTTCCTTATTTGAAAAAAGCACGTCGTTGTCTCATTATTAAATAATTTGTATTCTGAAACATAATTCAAACCAGAAAAAGAAACAACTCATTAGATTATCTTCTCTTTCTTCTTTTCTAATGCTCTCTTTTTTAACCTTCCATCGTCATTATCGCTCTCGTATTTTTTTAAGATTAGAGTTGTGATCAGGCGATGGAACTTGCACGAGGCAAAACCTACATAATTTTGAAATGATTTTGAATTTTATAAAACGAGGAGGAAACTAGCCACGCGATTGGTTAAATTACGAAACATTTGCCGCGAACCGTCGCAGAAATCGAATATGATGCTTCTGAGTAGTATTTTGTTACGTCATCAGTGCTTCGTGCAGTAGCTTTCGCAATTTTGCGACAAGCTTGAGACACGTTCGGTGTATTACAGTGTATTATAAGTTCGTAGCGCTTGGAGGCGGTAGGACGTGTTTTCCCGTCTCTTAAATTCAACTTGCCGAGCTAATTTTGTCGTAGAATTGGTTTTATTGTTTTTTACGCCTGAAAGGTTAGTTTGATCGATTCATATATTATATTAATTTTTGACTGGTTTTTCATTACGCGGTTTTGTTTTATTTCGTGTTTCCTTTATTTAGTAGGAGTGTATAATTCTTTTATCTATTTCCCGCACATATTTTGACTTTAATTTGAGAGAAAGGAAGCAAAGTGAAAATGATTAAATATTTTAATTTTCTGCGTAACAGATGTCTATTTAGCGTATTATGAATAGTAGATTGTATATCTATTATTTTATCAGCCACCTTTGAAATATTATTAATTAAAAGTAGTTAATAATTGTTTTTGTCCGTTTCTACAGATTAGCCAGCAATTGAGAGATTGGAACTGATATCCATCCTTTGCTTACTTAAAAGATAAGTCGTATCGTATGGTGTTTTAGCTGTTAACTTTTCATCTTGGAGGCTCTTGCAGTTAATTAAGGTGAGCATACATGCTATATTATATATATGTAGTGTATATATGATATTAAATGAGAAAAGTGTTCGGCGTTACTTTAAAAACTTCTTTATGCACTCTACTTAGTAGGGAGGCTAAATTTATTATATTTGAATACTTTTTCATAATATTTGATTTTACAGGGACGTTAGAAGAACTCCAGATACAATTAAATTGTGTCTGTTCTCATTGGCTCCAAAAAGTGACTGTTTTTATGGTCATAAAGAAAGCGTGAAAGTGCCTTTTTCCATTGGCAACAAAGACAATGTGCTGAAGGAGGGATTTATGACAATGAACTGGTATGTAACAGTAGCAATTAAAATTAGTAAATGAGGTCCCAGAAACTTGATTTCTTAGATATTTGTAACTTGCTTCAATAGACAACTTTTCAGAAATGGAAAAAGCAGAATTATTGTGGAACTGACCTTTCTTTCAATGTTAAAGTTAACTTGTATCTTTACCAGTATATCGCCAGATGAAAATATTACTGATTTACTTTAATTAAAAGTGGTAATTAATTACTTTTTCTTGCCCGTTTCTATAGATTATCCAACGAGGGAGAAGGAATAAGAGTTAATTTTGATGCTACTGGGAGGCTTGGAAGCAGCTGAAACAACAAACTGTGTGCAGTTGTATCCTTCCTAGGTTTGGTATGCTCATCACACTGATAGACTTTAGGACGCTACTTTCTACAATTAATTAAGGTGAGAATACATGACTTCATTAATATTAATTGCTATTTATTAATCTGTTACGGCATTTCTATTAACAATTAGCTATTGTCAACAATATTAATTGAGGTTATTGTGCATCTATATCTCTTGACAGTTTTTATTTTCCATAGAATAAATTAACACGTATCATAGATATATGGAATTTTTTTTAACCTGTTTTCTATTGTCTGCAATATAAACTGACGTCGTGTTATTTGACATATATCTATGTTGTGATCTATGGTTGTGATGTAAAATGGCGTGAAAGTAACTCAGTCATTTTATAATTCAGCTATTTTACTTGCTTTTTGGTGCGTTTTTAGTTGTTTTAAATTGTTTCTTAATTAATAGTGTAATTAATATGGGTTTTTGTCCGTTTCTGCAGGTTGTTCAACAAATGAGAGAGAATTAAACTGCAATTTGGTCATACTGGAACAGTCAATGTCTGCATGGGTGTTGTTTTTCGTGGACTGTATTCTTGATTTGCTGTTTTCGTCTTCGCCTTGCAACATTATTCAGTTCATTTTCAACACATGAGTGAAAGCAACTGGACATTTATTTGAATTTCACTGAAATAAAGAATTTTATGCTACTACAGTATTCCTCCTGGAGTTGGATTGCTTTTCCCACCTGCAAACTTTGGAACATTACAGTTTACAGTTAATTAAGGTGAGGATACTTGATATAATTAATTTTAATTGCTCTTTATTAATCTGTTACCACCGTATCTGTTTCAGATCGACGTTGGAGAAGACAAAGATGACCCCCCAGTTAAAATAGTTCTTTACCTTGCATGCTCTATCTAGTAGAATTTATTAAGTTCATCTTACTCAAATTAATTTTTTATTTTGTAAGTTTTTTCGTAGTTTTGTGTAGTTAATTTGAATTTGTTTTTATTTTGCATGCTTATTTTTGTTCATTTTATTTGAAGTAATTGTTGATTGTAGATGTTTTTATTTTTTCTTTAGTATGTAGTAGTAGTGTTTGTTCATTTTATTTGAAGTAATTCTTGATTGTAGATGTTTTTATTTTTGTATGTAGTAGTAGTAAAACTTANTCAAATAAAATGAACAAAAATAAGCATGCAAAATAAAAAATTAATTTGAATAAAATGAATTTAATGAATTCTACTAGATAGAGCATGCAAGATAAAGAACTATTTTAACCACGGGGTCATCTTTGTCTTCTCCAGCGTCGATCTGAAACAGATACGGTGGCAAATAGATTAATAAAGAGCCATTAAAATTAATTATATCAAGTATTCTCACCTTAATTAATTGTAGAACGTCAAATTCCAAAGTTTACAGGTGTGAAAAGCAAACCAACTCCAGGAGGGACAGCGTAGCAGAGAACTTGTTATTTCAGTGGAATTTAAATATCCAGTTGCTCTCACTCATGGGTTGAAAATTAACTGCATGATGCTACAAGGTGAAGAAGAAACAGCAAATCAAAAACATAATCCAGGAAAGACCACACCCATGTAGACATTGGCTGTTTCAGTGTAACCAAACTGAACATTAATTCTCTCTCATTTATTGGATAACCTGCAGAAAAACATATTAATTACACTTATAAATGAAAACACACAAATAAAAACCCATCAAAAAGAAAGTAAAATTAGTTGAATTATAAAATGGCAAGCGTTATTTCCACGCCATTTTACATCACAACCATAGATCACGACATAGATAAATGTCAAATAACACGACGTCAATTTACGATGCAGACAATAGAAAAAGATTAAAAAGAACCTCCATAGACAGATCACTAATAAATGTCAATTTATTCTGTGGGAAACAAAAACTGTCAAGAGCTTTAGATGCACAATAACCTCAATTTATACTGTTGACAATAGATAATTGTTTACAGAAATTCAATAACAGAATAACAAAGAATAATTAATATTAATGAAGTCATGTATTCTTACCTTAATTAATTGTAGAAAGTAACGTTTTAAAGTCTACCAGCGTGATGAGGAAACCAAACCTAGGAGGGATACAACTGCAGGCAGTTTGTTGTTTCAGATGCTTCCAAATTACCTTCCGATTGCCTCCCATTGTTAAAGCAAACATTAACTGCATAATGTTGCAAGGTGAAGACGACGAATTTATCGATTGTTCCAGTAATTAACTCTAATTCCTTCTCCTTTGTTGGATAATCTATAGAAACGGGCAAGAAAAAGTAATTAATTACCACTTTTAAAGAAAGTAAATCAGTAATATTTTCATCTGGCGATATGATGGTAAAGTTGCAAGTTAACTTTCACATTGATAGAAAGGTCAGTTCCACAACAATTCTCCTTTTTCTATTTCTGAAAAGTTGTCTATTGAAGCAAGTTACAAATGTCTAAGAAATCAAGTTTCTGGAACCTCGTTAACTAATTTTAATTGATACAGTTACATACCACTTCATTGTCACAAATCTCTCCTTCAGCAACACACTTGTTCAGCACATTGTCTCTGTTCCCAATGGAAAAAGGCACTTGCATGCTTTCTTAATGATCATAGAAACAGTTACTTTTTGGAACCAATGAGAACTGACACAATCAATGCTCCACAATTTAATGGCATCTGCAGTTCTTCTAACATCCCTGTAAAATCAAATATTATGAAAAAGTATTCAAATATAATAAATTTATCAAACAAATACACTACGTACACAAGGTAGTCCATTAAAGCGCGTCTTGCTCTCTGGCGGTCTTGCTGTTGAAATTGGAAGAAATGTTTCCAATAAAAAATGTTCCTGGTCAAATGATCCATCTGCGGAAAATAATCAAAAGATGGCGGACTTCCGGTATATCCATAGTAAAATGGCGACCTGGCGTCTATTTCAAGACACAACCTTTAACAAATTTGTCAATTTAATTTATGCTGTGGGCAATCGGGAAAAATAATAATACAGTATGAATCAATCAATCTAACCTTTCAGACGTAGAAAAAATTAAAACTGATTCTGCGAAAAAATTAGCTCGGTAAGTTAAATTTAACAGACGCCAGAAACACGTCCTACCACTACGAAACTTTAAGAACTTATAATGCACCGAGCCTGTCTCATGCCTGTCGTGAAATTGCGAAAGCTACTGCATGAAGCACTGATGACGTAGGCAAACGCCAAGCAGAAGCATCAAATTTGATTTCTGCGACGGTTCGCGGCAAAAGTTTCGTAATTTAACCAATCGCGTGGCTAATTTCATCCCCCGTTTTACAGAATTGAATTTCTGTGTGTTTTGCTTCGTGCAAGTTCCATCGCCTGATCACAAGTCTAAATATAATAATAATAAATATAAGAGCGAGAGAGACAGTGGAAACTTAAGAAAGAGAGGAAGATATTGGATTAGATTGAAACAAAAACGTGTTTTAGAAATAAAATAATGAATAATAAAAACAGAAAGTAGTTTCCCTTCTTCCTTGAGATGTATTATCAAATGTACTATTCAATAAAAAGATATATCAAAATGGCTTCACAATCAGCAAAGAAACGGAACACACATAAAGAAAATTGTTAAACTGTTAAATTGAGAACAAATTAAAAAAGTTATACGTAAAACCATGATTAAAAGTACAAGAAAAATAATTACAACTGATATTAGGTTTGGATAATTGATTAAATAGTTTGTCAATAACATCTATACATTACTTTAATTTTTATATTTTTTATGTATTATTAGGGCTTGGTTGATTAATAAATTCACAAAATAACGTATTTACTATGGTTACAATTTAATTATTTTTGGCAAATTAATGTTTTATTTCTGTGGTTCAATATATACGTAATAAATTCAGAAGATTTCCTACATAGTAGTGAAATAAACTTTCCTTATTTTATTTGATTTAGGAATATAAAACTACATATTATGATAAAAGTATTAAATTTCTGCGAATTGCATACTTTAACAACGCAAATACACGATTAAATAAAAAGAACACGACCAACAACACAAAAATAGTCTAAACAATTCCACCAAACGAAGAAATTGTATTTTTAAACATTTAACGAATGAAATTAAGAAACTAGGTAATTGCAGTATAACATTTTTGAAGTACCTTATTGTTATTTTTAAAAAAAATGCACATTATTAAAGTATTTCTGGTATATTAATAAACAGTTTCTGTGGTTTAATCCTTTTCTGTCGAAATTATTAATGTTAATTTTAATTATTCAAAATTTGAAGCCTTTATAAAATTATTAGGTAAATCCTACGATTTGTAGTTACTTTTTACCAAAAGATGACACAATACGTACTTTGTATGCATATACATAATGCAGTGTCAATTAATTTCATTTAGGTGTTTAGAGAAATTAAAAAGATGATACAGATGATGTAAACTATGGACGTATAGACTATTCTTAATACCACAAAAAAAACAATGTAACCTACGTCCTATACAGGAACATAATAAGTTTTAGTTATAAAATCGTTGTGAAAAAATTGACAAGCATCTTTCGATGGTTTAAGGGTGAAAAATGTTCATTTTCATTTAAGATAATTCAAAATCACAACTGTTTTTTCATTCCTGTGCCAACGAAGGTGCATGGCTTTTTTTACTACGGTTTAATAACTAAAACTACATTTCTTTTCCTTCGTATGCAGTTTAAAAACACGGATATTTTCAAAAATACAATGCTTTTTGAAAACGAAGAAATAAATTTTAGACTTCAGATGCTTACGAAGTAACTTACAAATTCCTCAATCTTAGGACAGTAGATTAAAAATTCATTGCATTGTTCTTATCGTTGTTACTATATGCTACGAAAAAAAAAAAAAGGAGTACATTACTTTTCTTCTTAATCAATTGCAATTTTTGATTAAGAAGCATCTATCTCCGTTACTATTATTACTCTATTCCACTTATACGCTCATCACAAGTTTTTCAAATAAAACAAACACTTTTTTGTCCGCATTTTTAACTGACATCATTCTCTATCAGAAATCGTATAAAAAATTGACATGTACAGGACACACGGTAAAAATGATCACGTTGAAGAAATATACAAAATAAAATGAAAAAACAATCACTCACAGTAACAGTGTTGTGTTATAAAATCATATTTATTTTCATAGATTACTTATGTCCCAAATAAATTTAGATTATTTTATTAAAATCCAAAAATTTAGTTGCTTACAAATTTCGAGTCACACTGTAACATTTCTATNCAATTACTTCATGAGTTTTACCAGTTTCTTGAAGCCGTTGCTCGAGTTCTGTTGCAACTACTTTACACACTGAAAAAACGTAAGTTTTTAAAAGAACTGATTAAACAGTACTTGTTTATACGTGATAAACTTTTTTTTAATCAAAGTGTTAACCTTCACATCTATTTGCGTATTTTACATCCTCATCCTCTTCAGACGTCGACAGAATTCTTGTAAGATTTATCATTAATAAAACGCAAACGAAACATTTTCTATTGACCACCATATTTTTGTCTATACCTCTGCTAGTACACTTATTGCAAATAGCGGATACTGTGCCAGCCCTATCTGATCAAGACCATATCAAGACCCAGCATAACCTTAAAAACATTAGTATTATTACGTGTGGTTAGTTTACATAGAATAATGTTGAAATTAAAATTGTTATGCTACTGATTTTTTAGTACATACATTTGTTAAAAATAGGATATACTTTCTTCATGAACAACCTTTGGCTTAGGAATAGTTAAATATTAAATTTAAAAATTCCTTTAAAATTCATTCACTAAATGTCATTATGTATCACTAAGTATTAGAATGTTGTAATATTTATTACATTTTGATACTTTCAGTTCGCTTCATAAGAGAGAAATTAATTTATCAAGAAATAAAAACGATTTCTTTAAATTGGGGCTTAAAAATGCACCCTGATAATTTTCAACCATAAAATTCGTTTAACTGATGCTCTACAACGACAATAATACATTTTGGTAATTTCAGCTCGTGCAATACGAGAGAAATTAATTTATCAATAAAAAAAACAATGTTCATAGGTTTAGGGTTAATTTTCACCTATAAAATTCTTTAAATTCAACTTTAATACATTCTGATACTTTCAACAGGATTAACTGATTTAGCAAAAACTAAAACAACGCTTTTAAATTGAAGGTTGTAAGCGCACTCCAATAATTTTCACCTAAAAACTTCTTTTTAGTGATGATTCGTAACTTTAATACGTTTTGGTACTTTCAGCTGGTTTAATAAGAGAGAAATTAATTTATCAAGAAATAAAAACACCGTATTTAAAATTGGGGGTTGAAGGGACATTCCAAATCTAAAGTTCTTTTCGCTCAATTAGCTCACTTAGTAAGGATGAAATTAATTTAACAATAAATTAAATCAACATTTTTAAGTTGGGGAATTGAAAGTGCCTCACAACAACTGCCATACCTTTTGATACTTTCCGCTTGTTTAATATAGGATAAATTAATTTCAAATTAAACAAAAATGGTAAACATTAATCCTACCTGTCCAATGTAGTTGATGAATTGGAAAGAATAATTCTGGAACAACAACACTGTAGAGTCCACATTCACCACAAATAAACCAATACACAACGAAAACTGCATAGAGGAACAGTTTGAAAAGCTGAAACAATTACGATTTTATTTTATTGGTTAAGAAAGAATGTTAAATAAAAACCTACCTTTCTTTGTAAGTCTAAAGTACTGTTCAAGTTTTCTTATGACCAACAGCTTGTAAGGAATTTCCTTCTAACAGGCATACTGTACAGAATGCTGAAATAAAAAGAAAATTTTTTATAGTTTACAAAGAAAAAAATTATATAATTGACGACCATATAAATATACACCAAACTAAGAATTTTGAATTTAAAATGCATAGTTGTTAATAGTGATTGCCTATTTTTCAAATAAGCAATATATCTCCATTGGAAAAAAGGCACTTTCTCTATTCTTTCAGGGACAGTAGAAAAAAATGAACACTGTACATTCCCAATCTGGTGTTTATTATTAGCATATGATTATTAGTATGCTAATAAATAAACATTTTTTCTAAGTAAACAATCATAAAGTAAACCTGGTAAACAAGATACCATTGAATGATACTCAATGTCAATTGATTAACATAGATGGCGACAGAGTTTACTTTTCTAATAAAGGAGGGTCAATGAAAATTTGTTTATTTTTTTTTTAAAATAAGTAAGTGACAAACAAACAAACAATTACTATTCACGAACAATAAGAAACAGACGATTAGTTATTTAGTTTGAAAAGTTAAAAAATATCACGGTCACGGGGCAAATGCACTTTCTCTCATCTATGATTGTTGACAATGGTCATAGATACGGTCAGTAGTGCTATTATTATCTATAGTGGCAATATGTAAGATATGTTTGTTGTATATCACATATCTCTGATACGCAACTATGGTATATAATCTGTTTGTCTAACCTCAAGTTTATATGTAAAATATTCTTTTTTATCGTTCAAATAGTAAATGCAATTTATTAAAAGAGCAAGTTAAAATATTTTAATTAAGAATGAGTAAATACGTCAAGTATTCTGATCTCATGAAAAGATCGACCGAGTATGCACAAAGAATGAACAGATTGAGCAACAGAATATTTGGTGAAGTTGTGAGACAAACCAATTCTAAGTCAATGAAAGTAGTGAAATTATTCAGTGCAGAACCGATCAATAAAAGGAAGGATTTGTACCCTTATTATCCCAGACACATAGAAACAGGACAACTAATGCTAAACCTTCGTTATTATGGGTTGTTTAGAGATGAACACGCAGACTTTCAAGATGAAATGGAACGTTTAAGAGTTTTGCGTGGAAAGGGAAAACGAGAACGAAAACCACGAAAAACCGAAAAGTAGAATTTCTTAGTTATTTGTAGCATTTACTTGATATAAATTATTCTAATGTAAATGTTTCATAAAAAAACTATCTTACATAATGTCTGCTGCTTATAGATAAATATTAAGTAAAAAAAATAATAAAAACTTGTATATACATACATCATGTTACAATTCACTCTTAGTTTTTGTTTTGGTTTTGCCAGCAATATTACCACTATCACCTTTTAATTTTTCATTTAGACAGGATGAATCATGGTTTTTTAAATAAATGTCTTTGCACAGGAAGTCTTGAAGTGACTTAATATTTTGAAAATTCCAGTACCAATCTTCTATATCAGATTCACTGTTTTCCAACAGTGCTTCACACTAAAAAGTTATAGTTTGTAATATCTACAGCTTTTAATAAACTACAACTTACCTGCATCTTCATATTTGTAATTTCTACACTTGGTTTATCCCAAAGTTCATAAGGAATTCCCAATTCAACTTTTACACCTTTATCAACAAGACCATGCAATGTTCTAAATGTCTGACTCATGCCCTTGGCAAATCTTGTACTGTCTGTTCTTTCTTTATGAATATTATATTCTAAAATTCGATCGCAAATTCCTTCCAATGATTCAACAAGGCGAAGTTCAGATTTTTGGTATGGTTTCTTTTTCTTTGGTTTTACATCATCTAAAGAATATCCTGTTTCAATTACTTCATGAGTTTTACCAGTTTCTTGAAGCCGTTGCTCGAGTTCTGTTGCAACTACTTTACACACTGAAAAAACGTAAGTTTTTAAAAGAACTGATTAAACAGTACTTGTTTATACGTGATAAACTTTTTTTTAATCAGTGTTAACCTTCACATCTATTTGCGTATTTTACATCCTCATCCTCTTCAGACGTCGACAGAATTCTTGTAAGATTTATCATTAATAAAACGCAAACGAAACATTTTCTATTGACCACCATATTTTTGTCTATACCTCTGCTAGTACACTTATTGCAAATAGCGGATACTGTGCCAGCCCTATCTGATCAAGACCATATCAAGACCTAGCATAACCTTAAAAACATTAGTATTATTACGTGTGGTTAGTTTACATAGAATAATGTTGAAATTAAAATTGTTATGCTACTGATTTTTTAGTACATACATTTGTTAAAAATAGGATATACTTTCTTCATGAACAACCTTTGGCTTAGGAATAGTTAAATATTAAATTTAAAAATTCCTTTAAAATTCATTCACTAAATGTCATTATGTATCACTAAGTATTAGAATGCTGTAATATATAGCTTTATGAAGTGTTTTGTTGGAAAATAGTAATACAGTATGACTTAAATTTGATTTTCTAAACTGTACAGTTTTAGAAAACTAATATTGCATTTAGCTATTACCTTCAGTTTAACAATGTATTTTGCACATCAGAACTGAGAATAAACAAGCCATTCCACGCATGTTGTGGGTGTTTAGACACCCCAATTTTTAAGAAATAAAATGGCATAACTACTTGCAGACTGCCAACGTGAAGCAAGAAACTAATTGAAAACGGTTATGGATAATCTTTTAAAATGTTAGACTCTTTCCTAACTATTTAGTGGGGTTACAAAATAACTAGAACGCTTTGAATACACAAATATATTTTATCGGATTTTTTAATGAATCATTGATAAAAGATACACCATACATATACTATAACCACTATAATAAAGTTGTATTTGGACGAAAAAGGTGTGAAATATTACTCCTGCAATGTATGCTCTTCGTATCGCACTTCTGATAATTTCTTATTATTTTCATTCATTTTAAAAAGTAATAGTATAATACATCTAAACAAACCGATTCTTCTTAAAGTTAAACTAACTCAAGGTGTTTTCTGTTGTTATTAATCATAAATTAATTTAAATTTTTCTTGTCATAGTGGCAACATATACGAATGATTTTTTTTTGAGCACATCTTAAGTACAGTACCTTTCCTTTTATGATAAACATTGAAAAACCTTAGACAAATTTCGACGTTCCTGCGTTAATACTATGTATGATTTAAACTTTACAAGATTCTTCGATAAAATTGTATTCTTTGATTTATATTAGAACCTTGTCTATTTATACACAAAAATTAACGTTTTACGCTTATTGTAAAGCTACGTACATATATAGTTATATTTTTACTACTAATACAAACAAAATAAATATTCACCAACCTAATTAGTGTATTTGGTAAAGTCGTCGATGGAGCCTCTTCTAGAACGAACGGAAATGTCTTCTTCACTATTCGGTTTGTCTTTTCTTGCGTCATCCAAAATTTTCGTTTTCAACTGTTTGATTTTTCGAAGTCTTTCCAACCAATTAGAAGCGTACGGGTTTTGCGATTTGCTTTTTAATGATAGCGATACTAAAGCAGCCAACTGAAACAATTAAAAAAAAGTGAATTGTGGAACCCTCCAACTTTTCTTATACACACTGTGCAAATTACGACTGTGAAGAAAAAATATAGCCAAAAGAAAGACTCACACTACATAACACAAACACTACTCACAGAGAACATGTGTTTCGCCGACTTCGAATTGCGAGCGTTATCAACGCGAGACTGAATGGAAGTACGCGAAACACGTGTCTACTGTGAATAGTATTAGTATTAATTAGGGTACTTCTCTTCTTACGTTATTCACATTTCAAAGAAAATCATTTTGACATAAAACTGTAAAAAGACCCAGTTAAAGAACTTACCTTAGAAAAGTATTATAAGACAATTTGACATTTAAAACATCCTTAAAAATAATTAAATTCCTAATTATAAGATCCAATTTATTTACTAAGACTTACGTCTGCGTGGAGAGCCAATTGACGTGCTAGGAGAGCAACATTCTGGTCAGAAACAATTTTTGGTTCGCAACTGCCAATAAGTTCAGTTAATTCTTCTTTTGCTTTGACCGTTACCTTATTCGTGTTGTAGTCCAAAGGCTGCACAACAATGCAGGCAAAATTAAATTGACCCTATAAAAAAAATTATTAAGATATAGAACATAAACTTTTCAAAATTTCGCCAATATAAATAATATTTATAAAATCTAAAATAATCTAACAGTATTATTAATATTCATTAAATTACTAGCTTTAACTAAAAAAATTATATTCAATTTCAAATTTACACAGTATTATTACTTTTTAAATAGTTGAAAATTTAAATTAGTATACATTTAAAACACTCACTTTAATAGTGTTAATGTTGTATTCCTCACCACTTTCGTTATAGACGATCGTAACATTATTATTACCAATATGCATTTTTTTGTGATTAAAGTTAGGGTCATTTTCCTTGTTAGGCATCAGTGTAGCCACATGAAATACGACTCGAATTACGTCGTCCTGCCATATATATGTGAACTTACCAGCATTACCGTCTTGATGCAAACCTCCCAGGAAAAATACCTGCAATAAAAAAAAATACAAATTTTACTATAAGTAATGTAATTAATAACTAAATAATAACAGTAGTTAATTTTATCCCTTGAAAGAGAAGTAGAAAATTTTTCGTCTTTAGTTTTCTAATTTGTTTACAAGTGTTAAATGTAAAATACAAATGTAAAGAACTTATTTTCTTTTACACTTTATATATTTCTCTAATGTAAGCAATAACTCGCTTTAATTTGGATTTTTCTTTCTTACATAAATAAAATTCAAAATCATATTTGTATTAGGTGACTTACTTGCGAGTCTGCTTCTTGCAGTTTAATCAAAGTGCCAAGATTTTGTAAGAATTGAACATACCGCACTGATCCAAATCTATTGCCTAATATTTCAGTCTCATTGTTACTTTGTCCTTCGCCGACATAAATGACACTTATTTTATGAGTCTCATATGGGGGTACCATGTCTAATATTTTGACGGCCCTTTGTGCCACAGTACTTGAATCGACTAAAAGGGGGCGTTCGTTCGAGCTACCAAAATGAGAGGAATGATACAGCTGCAAGAATATAAAACTAGGACTGATGCCACTGCGGGGCCCTTCTTTTGTAGAACGAGGAGAATTGGTACGCCGCAGATTTTCTAGTCGTGGTTTTCTTACGTTCATCATTACTGATATAGTGTGACCGCGGTCTCTTATTGGGTTATTGTTTGCCATTTTTGGGTCTGACTGGCTACAGTTGAGTCGTTCATTGCTGCCATTTCTTCGCTCCTTTGTCTTCATGATTGACGATTGAGTTTTCTCAAGAACAAGTGATGAACTCTTTTGTATTTCGTGACCTGCCCAAATCAACAAAAATAAAAATGTAAATACCTACCATATACGTATACATATATTTAATTAACAAAATAATCCCTGTTAACAACCATAGTTATCTTTTCTCCTCTTGAATTAACAATAAATCAAATAAGCCTTACCATCTTTATCTTTAATTGCTGAATGCCTGGGTAATCGTGGTGACGTCTGAGTAGGACTTTGGGGTGGTTTAGTTGAAAGTGGAGTTAGATTAGCCAAATTACCCAGAGTACTGGGGCGTTCGCAGATTTTTTCTGCAAATACAGGAGCAGAGGGTGAATCTTCAGACGTTCCGTCAACAGTTTTTACGGTCTGAGGAGAAAAAGAAGACGAAGATGACAAATTTAAAGGAGCAGTTGTTTGTAAAATATTCGGTGACGGTGGCACAGTCTGAGACGTTTTCGGAACGACTGTCTTTTCAGCAGGAGGCGTTGCACCAGGACAACTGTGGCAAGTGAGCAATGTCGGATGTGTTTTACAAGGAACTGCCTGAATGGGAGCATTAGAAGGTGGAGTAGTGCCTATAAATTAAATCAAATATTTCCCCTTCTTACTTTGTTTATTATAACAGTTAAATTACCCATTCCTGATATTTCTTCCGGTATTGCCTCACAACTAACTCGCATATCCTTCGTAAAATTCTTAGCCTTTTTCGCCCCCTCGTCGTCTTGATTTCTAAACTCTTCCCTTTCCCTATCCGGTTTCTGCAGAAACGGATTTTTCCAACTAGCCGACATTTCTGGACTCGAATTGGAACGTCTAACCGGATTTCTCGACTTACTTCCGTCCTCGTAAATGTTGTCCATGTCTTCGTCGATACTATCTCGCGAACTTTGTCTTGAAGGGGACATTTTTGTTGGAGAACCTTCAAACAAAGTTAAAAAAAACTTATTCCCTAATTAATTGTATTAGCCATATTATTTAACTACAGTTGTATTAACTGCTTTGCTATCATCTTTTTTGTTTGCGTTTATTTTGGTTTTAAGTGGATTGGCATTACTTTACCAATTAAGTTAAGCACGTCCTTGTCTGTGGTACATCCCATAGATAATAGGTACGTTCAATCTTTACGCAAGGGGACTTTTAGTACTTCCAGCAACATCAATATAAAATGTATACATATATATCGTATATGTACTTTTTACTGTGTATAATTTTTGTTAAACGTACGTATTAATTACAACTGTCATTGATGTATTTAAAATTGCATTAAAAATAAGATAATTACCAGGAATACTTATAGGCACGCTTGCTGTTGAACCAAACTCTTCTTCAGGATTTTGAGTGTCTTCATATTGGTAATGTGGTTCTGATGATGATTCTGGTTCACTGGAACTCTGATGTAAAGAGGGCATGAAAAGGGTAGAAATCTCACTCAAGGGCAGATCGAAGGACGACTGTAGATGGGATAGTTGGTTTTGGATTCGCATAACCCAACACATGTCACCTATAATAATAAAAAGTGTTAATTAACACTTACTCGTTGGAAAAGAAGAAACAAAGCATTCATTACCTGTTGGTCTTCTCACATAAATCTCAGCCCAACCCTGACACCAACAGGTGCACCCTTGTTTCTCATTCTTATTGGCGTCCTGGGCTACCAACTGTTGCAATTTCGTCGGAAGTTGATCGAGTTTGTTGTCTCCCAACTTCTTGCCCTCGTCCACTGGCGAACTTACTGACGTTTGAGTGATGGATTTCTCACCAGAATTTTGTCGAGTAACAACTCGATTGCCACTAGTCGAGTCATCTTTGTCTTTATCACCACTATTACTACGCTGATTTTTGAGAGAGCCACGAAGATGTGGTTGCTGTTGCGGCTGCTGCGGTTGTTTGATTTCGAGGGGTGACCGTGACTGGTCGAGATGACAAACCGTCCAACAACGGTCACAAAGACCATATCTGAGCGGTTTCTGCTTACAACCACTGGTCGTGATAGTTATCAATTTATTCCCAAGTAACCAGGTCATTGACTGACCGCCACCGAAGAGTAACTCGGCTGTGGGTAATCTAACAACAAAATTACAGTAAAAGAAATGAAATTATTATTTCTTATAAAGGCCTGCCTTTTTGGTAGAGCACTGCAGGTTGAGAAAGTGTACCGAGCCATGAGATCGTTGCAAGTTTCGGTCAGTTCTTCGTAGAAAGTAAGCAAAGTGCGATCGAAACCCTGACGTAACGTAGGCTTACCACATTCGGAACGATTGACAACCGTACACCGTTCTCTACGCCTCGAACTCTGCTCAGTCAAACTCGAACTTCTTTTTCTATCTGAACTGTCTTGGTTTAATTTGCTTAGATCTGTTTTTAAGATGCTGGTTTCTTCAAATGGAACCATGGTGTTTGTTTGCAAACCCTTTAACATAAATAATAAAATGCGGTTTTACAAATTGATATCTTAATATAATTTTAACAGCAAGTTAATGGATTAATAACTAAAAACAAGTAATTATTAGTTTGACTTATTTATTATCATTTGTAATACATTCACCCACCTTTGTTATATAGGATATAAAAACCCTCCTGAATGGTAATCGGCATTTAAGAAACCAAACAGCAATGACATGATGGGCCAAGGACACTATATAATGATTGTATTTGAACGGGTTTGTATAGGGCAAACATATCGCGAATAAGGCCATATACTGATCACCCACAAAATTGGCATAAATTGCAGGTAACTTTGATACAGCTAAAAACAATAAAACTTTTAATACATTAGTTTTATTAGTTAAGTTTATATTTTTTGTATGTTATTTCTTAATCAGTAAAGTTATTGTTTTTAGTTCAACCCGGGATCATAGATTAACTTCCCTTTGTAGAATGCAATTTGATGGCATGAAATAAATACATAAACATAATGCCACTTACTCGATAAAAACTCTAATATAGGAATAGCTATGTTGACGGTAGCAGAAATCTTTGAAAGGTCGAGTAACACGTCAGGAAGTAATCTTATCATAAGTACATCCCCCATTTCAAGAGTACAAATCATAAGAGCTGATATTATCGACCGAGAACACTTGGGCACTAAACCGCACCTAACCAGACACCAAATCATCTTCTGTTGACGTTTCGCGTCTAAAAAGGCATGATATGAGGGCATGTTAGCCAACACTTGAAGAACGCATGCGTGAAAATCCGACCGGTTCAGTTTATTCGTACTTTTTAGCGATTCTGGCAAATTGAGGCTCTTATCGGTGAGCTGTAAAAACAAAATTGAACAGTCAGTTAAATAATATCGTTATTACTAATAAAATAAATATTTTTTAAACTTACTATCATACACAAAGCATCGACAAACAAATCTATCTCGTTATTTCCATTTTTTCCCAAAACCAACGATTTATTTTGCAAAACTAATGGAATACCTTGCAAAACAAATTTCAAAACTTCCCAGTCTGTAACAGTAATTTATTACAATCAATGAAAAAACTCTTACACCTCTTACATAATTACTATTAAATTATTTAATAAATTTCGTAATGATTTCAGTGGCAAGTGAGCAATGTC